CACTGTGCTGGCTACTTGTCACACATCCCAGCACACCGGCAGGGAGCATCTGTGAGTCTGCTGAGCTCAGGTCAGCAGGGAGTGGGTGTGTGTGTGCAGTGCCTTGGCTCTGCTCCTCACCCACCAAACCAGTCAGCAGAGCTCAGTCAGCAAGATGTTGCAAGCAACCAACAGAAGCAGGTTACTTTCTGGAGACAGCAGGGAACCCCAGGAGAGAATGGTGACTCTGGGAGTCACTACTGTCTCAGTGCCATGTGCCTGGGAGCCTCAGAGATCTGCACAGCGCAGTGCTCAGGACACAAAGCAGAGTGACTATATAGTCCAGAGACAGGGTAAAGAAGGATCATTTATTCCCCTGCATTATGACATTCAAAAGAAGAATTTATATAAATGAAGCTGTCGTAACTTAACCCAACATTACCGCGTCGCAGAGTTAAAAGCAGGCAGCATCCTTGTAAAGTTTTTGTAAAATATACCACAGTCATAAAATTTACAGAAAAAAACAGTTGCAAGGTGACATGGCGAGTAGTGCACATTATTTTCAATGCTGTTAGCTGGCCTCTGATGTATGTAAAAAACAAGGCGCTGCTGCTTAACTTTCCACAGTCTGATGATGTAGGTAAAGACACCCATCTAAGAAAGCTTGTGGAAAAAAAAAAGGAAATGTTTTCTCCCACCCTGGCAAAAACAAACAAACAAACAAACAAAAAAACATGACTTTTTTTTTTTTTTTTACTAATACAAAAGACAGGAGGGAAATGGCATTTTTGTATATGATCTTTGGAAGAGATCTCACCGCATCATCATCTCCTGGGTTTTGTTATGCTGTAACAAACTGAAAAGTTCAGTTATTTAGGTCCTGGAATTTGGCCTCAAGGTTCTCATTTAATCAAATCTGAACTGAATACAATCCACTCTGTGAAACAAGAGCATATACTCAACAAGATGAGAGCATATACCTTCAGGAACAGAACTGTTGTTAGATCTGTGAGTATTTCTTTCTGAGCTTTATTGTACCAGTAAGTTCAGTGAGCCCAGAGCTGATATTCATCTTTACTAGACACTCTGCCAAAATTCAAATGCCTTCCAAAATATGCATGCCTTCAGATACGCCAGCTATTTATGTTTGTAGCAGATCTCCAAATAGGAACATGGTGTGACATCAAACAGGTCAAAATACCTAAATGCTGGGCGCACATTTCTCATCTCACTAAGCCTTGTGAAAATCAGAAGTAGCTCCAACAGTCATTCAGGTTACCCTAATTTAAAGCCAGCACCTAAAAACAATGAGGCCCATAGCCTTCCACAGGCTGCTAATCCAGACCAAGTCTTGTCCTCAGCTTTAGATCTGTAAATGACAACTGATATTTAATGTTCCAGTGTTTTGTCTGTGGACCTCCTGAAAACTATGTCAGTCATCTTTATTGGGCAGCAGATGTTAAGTCTGTGGGATCTGATTCTCAGCTCACCTCTATTTGCTACTACCATAAGTGAAATCAGAACCAGGAGCTAGCACTATTGTGCCATGATCACAGAGCCCTGGTCCTCCAGGCAGCTGTATTAGAGGGATAGTAATAAAGACTAGACAGCCCTGGTGGAGGGGCAGATTACAATACGTGGACTGACTGCATGTGCCTGTTTCATTCATACTGTCACAACCCAAGGGTGTGATTTTTGTTTGTGTGCGCTTTGGCACCGCTGAATTATTTTCCCGCCGTTTGAAGCTTTCTTTGCAGGGTGCATTTCTTCTTTGCAGCATAGAAATGCACGTTGCAAGGAGTTCCCGCCATTTGTATTTAAATTCGACCCCCCACTATTGGTTGTTTCTAAATTATTCCCACGTGGCGGCTAGCGATTGGCTTGCTGGCCGTATAAGAGGCTTGGGTGGTTTCTGCCCAAGTTGGAGAACTTCAAGCATGCTGCAGAGTGCCTCTACAGAGATTTGCCCTGCGGCTGGCTGATCGATAGACTGACCACCTATCGATTCTTCTCCCCATTGCCGAGCGCAATCCTCGACGTATCCCTCTTCCCTGCGTGCAAAAAAGTTCCATGGAGCCTCGACAACTTCGTGTGAGTCAGAGTTTTGTCTGAGTCCTTAACATAGGGATTTAAGCGGAGCTTTACCTGGGAAACTGTCCAGCCTACACCGTGACCATCTACGGTGTAAGTAAACAATCTTGAATCAACCACTAAGCGTCCGTGCCTAATTCTAGCGTGTCTCCTGCTTTCTCCGACCCCGCGTGTCCGGGCTGCTGGCCACAGCCCGCGGTGCGAAAAAAGGGCCCCGGATCACTCCCGGCCCGCACACATACCACAACCGTAAGTGTAAAAACCTTATTTCTGGCAGGATGTCCAAGTGGGAATCCCCATTCAAAAGGCTGACATCCGTTTTTAAACCAATGGGTTTGAGAGAGGATAGAGTAGCAGATTAGCCAAACTAAGTGGGGAAGTGTGGCACGGTAAAGGGATGAAGAGATGATCAACTGAGGAGGACAGTGTCTACCCCACCCTCCTCAGGGGAGCTGTTTGAACATTTTCCAGTGAAAACAAACAAAAAATGGCCTTTTCCATGAACATTTTCCATGAACTTTTTTATTTAAAAAAGGCTTGAAAGCATGGCCAGCCCAAACCCCTGGTTTCTGATTTTCAAACTGTCAGCATTTAGTTTTTGTTTCTGTTCCTTCCCTTCTCTGTCTCTGTTCTCCTTTTTTAATTTGTCCACTGGAAAAAAGGAATACATGAAAATAGAGGGAAGGGATAGCAATTGGGAAAGTGGGAAAATGTTTACATTTTATCTACGGGGGGGATGTTTTTAAAAAGATGCATAGGAAATTTTGAAAAAAAAAATTGTTTTTAATTCCTTGGAAAGATAGTTGTCATTTTAAATGTCCTGACCAGCTCTGTATTGCAGAGGTGAGCATTGGCTGTGCTCCATGGACTTCTCTGAAACAGTTTGCAAAACTCCTTACCATTAATGGCCTCTCATCCCCTCCTCCAGTTTGGGACAGTGCCCAAAAGGTGTCATCTGGCTCTGACAGGATAGAGCCAGGCAAGGGAAGAGTAGAGAGAGGAAGCCAAAATTTGGATGTAGATTTAAATTCTGAAACAATTCCCATCCTTTTTCACACAAAGCAGTTTTGGTAGTGCTCAACTGTGGGATTTAGAGGCAGGTCCATTTTTAGAAGAGACCAGAGGTTGACACAAAGCTGAAAGGAATAGGTAACACTAAAATGTAACTGGCCAAGAAATAAATATGAAGTGTAAACAAAAGGGCCAGAGGACATAAACAAAGCATGACACTGTAATGCTCATTTGGGAGGGGAGAAATAGGAAAGCATGGAGAAGAAAGATAAACATTAATTATTCATTCACTGTGTATCTTAATATTCCCCTTTACAGTAGGGCTTCAGTTTCGATCCCATATTTCAGTGCTGAATGCTGAAAAGTACAGCTCTGTAGTCTTCATTCATTTTTATACTGGTATTTAAAGTGGTGCCTTCATACTGCTCTCTTTACTTTGCATTTTCATAATAGCAGTTTTATACCTCCATCATCAAAAAATGTCCTCAAATTAAAATGCAGCTGACAGCATCTCAGCACAGCTTGAGAACATCCCTAATTACAAAATTTGTCAATATTCTGCTTAGACTCTGGTGAGTTAAAAATCTGAAATACTTATTGTGGGTTTGTTATGGGTTTGACTTCCTTCTATTCAAAAAATCTATAGCCAGAAATTGCCCTTGTTTTTTAATTTTTTTAACTGAATTTTTGTAGGCCACAACGCAGAGGAGTGTTTGGGTTACTGGAAACAAAATTAAGCAATGTGCTATTTCTTTTAGCTTCAAGAATGAAAAGCAAGATGCATTCTTCCAAATGCCTGTACATACATTTACCCAAATGTACAGTCAGATACCCAAGGACAGAAGACAGCCCATGATTACATAAGACTCTTAAAGAAAATGTATATTCTACCAACAGAAATCTGGATCTGATATTCAAGATGAGTATCATCTGCAGAAAGGAACTGGATAAACCTTTGCCTGTTTCTCCCCTACCACCTGGAGTCAAATTCTGCTCTCACAGACATCTATGTTGTCACAGATTACAATCATCTAGTAAAGTATCTTTGGTTTACTGGCCAGTAGGGTTGTGCAAAGCTTTGGGTGGTGATTTGATTCAGAGGTGATTTGGCCAGATTCGGTGGCCGAATCTCCAAATCCGAATTGAATCAGGGGACCAATTTAAAGGTCCGAATCAATTCAAAGTTCTCGAATCTTCGGAAAAGATTTGGGGGGGTTCGCTGATTTGAGCAGTCCCCGGTGGCTGTAGCAGGGAGCTGCAGCCACTGCAAGCTGGTA